TGGTAGAATTACCGACAATATGTTAAGTAAAAGGACACAAATGCAACTAACTTGACATTTTATTGTGGCAAAGTTTCGCTCGCCAGGAGCTGTATCCCGCCCACCAGTGACTATGCCCTCGTCTGCTACCCGTTCCAATCCACTTTACGTTAGTATATAAGCGCCAGCCTCCATGCCTCTGCTCCCGAATCTTCACTACAGTGCTCTTCACACCAACTCCATGGCTGAGGGACTGATTACCTCATCTTTTGTATATAGTTCTACTGTCTTCATATTATGTCCTAGAATCTGTATTGATAAAGCCACTGGATGGCAAAATGTCTACAATAAAGATACCCAGATGTTGCATGTGTGTCTCAGTTTTCATCTTGTTGGTATTGTATACCATTCTTGTATAACCTGCATGTAGGAGACGAAACTTATGACTGTCAAACTTGGACCGTTAACTAGTCACATGGAAGTGTGAAGGGAAAGGAGCCAGAATACGTATGATAAGGAGCAGAAGGGTGGCAGTGGTAGAATGGAAAGAGGTAGCAGTATTGTAGCAGTACCAGTGAAAGGAATAATGGGAAAAATGGTAGAAGGATCTATAACTTTCTAACCAATAGAACAAAAAATAAAGTCAGGATGGTAAGACACATAGGCAACAGTTAGGCATGATAGACTGTTAGGGCAATGGACTGATTACATCATCTTCATATCTTTACTGCTCCTGCCTACTTTCTGTACTCTACTGAAGAAGCCTACTGTGTAGATGAAACATTTTGGAATAAAGATGCTCAGTGGTGGCATGTACTTTGCTCAGTGGTGATGTGTACTTTGCTGTGTGAAGAATAATCTAGTGTGCTCTCTCCATTCTTAGCTACCCAGGATGATGATGGCTTCCCTCAACTATGAGCAGCTATATCTCCAGCTTCAAGCAGAATTAACAGAAGCAAGAATAGAAATTCAATGACTGAAGGGTATGTGCAAGGATTATCCCCGGAACAACGTCGCTTATGATCGGACCAACTAGACCAACCAGTCGGAGCTGAAGGTGAAGAAGGTCCAGGAGACTGCTGTGAAAACTAGCAACTCGTTTTCCTTATCAGAGGAATGTGAATCGACAACCCATGATCTTCCAACAAAGACAACTGTTAACAACAGTGAAACCAGCCACTGAAGATATCCCAGCAAAGACCATCTCTACCAAGACCGCTGAGAACGTCATGCACACTGCCAGTCGAGGTAAGAATACTGTTTTAGTTGGAGACAGTCAGATTAAATTTATGGATAGGGCTTTTAGTCTTAGGGATAGGAATAGGAGGCAGAGGGTGTGTTTCCCTGGGGCTGGGATGAAGGATATTGTTAGCCGTCTGGATAACATAATGAGAGGTAATGGGAGCAATCCTATTATGTCTCAGTGCTGGAGGCAATGATGTTGACAGACTTACGAGGGAGAGGGAAGGGGGGCAGGACAAATTCCTTGCAGAACAAAACCCACCAACAGAACCCACCCAAGTAGAAGACAGGAAAGGCAATGAAAATATAAAAGGTGAAGTAAGGAGAGGATGAGCAAGACGTACAATTTGGTATCTTTATTGTTGAAAATTTTTGCCTAGGCTGTAAACTGCTTCTGGAGACAAGGTCAGGTCAAGTGTTCTGCAGTCTAGAGCATTTGACAATGTAATAAGAGATACTGGGATCACTCACTGAAATATACCGCTTATGTTTATTTTTCCATTGTGTCGGTATCTTATACCATTTATTTCCATGATGTGGTAGGATGAAACCAAGTGATAGCCTACATACGTGACTCACCCTGACGTAACAACAAATACTTAATCCCTGCTCCTTTAACTACATAAATATAATAGTATACCTATTGAAAATCCAGAACAAGGACAGCGAAGGTTACGATGATCTCAAAATTATAGTTTTGGGGGGTTACGCACAGCCATTTTCAGAACAAGCAATGGCCGGGCCACCACTTGGAAAAGGCCCGGGCCGGAAGAATACCGGCGAATCTATAATAATAATAATAAGAACAAGCAATGACGTGAGAACGCTGCCAAGGTTGAAGTATACCAAACAATCTTAAATAATTTTTGGCTACCAACAATATCCATGCCAACATTTGCACCTACATTAACCTATTTTTAATTAATAATTTAATATTTAAAGTCAGATTTCTATCTATTATCAAACCTAATATATACAACATACTCATTGCAAGGGCAAACTTGCTTTCCTCTAATAGTATTCGAGGAAGAGCTGTAACAAGGTTGGGTAACAAATATAACTACAATAGGGGTAATTATGAAATTAATGAGGACGGCATGTATGTCGCGACTGACGTCACTTGGTGAGGCACCAACAACACCATCAAACGTGGCCAGTATTTCATCAACGACTTTCCCAGAATATATACATCAACGAGTGTACGTCTTAAGTGTATATACCTTTGATGAGTTCCAGAACTTTTTAAAGGAATAAGTTATATACAGACATACACCTGCTGATGTATATATATTCTGAGCAAGTCCTTGATGAAATCCTGGCCACGTGTGAGGCCACGTGCTATTGGTGCCTCACCAAGTGACGTCAGTCGCAATATGACGTCATTACTTTGTTACTTTAAAAATTAATTTTCTTAACTGGTGGTGTAACAGGCAGCGTGAAGCCTTTTGAGTATTCGATAGGTATTTTAAGGGCAATGAAGACTCAGGTGAAACAACCACTTTCGTAAGCCAGGACAGTCTAGTGCTTGCCTGGTCAAGCAAGCTGTTAGTCTGATTAATCTAGTGCGGTGCGGTGCGTTGGGCAAACTACCCAGCAGTGGGCATAAAACACAGTTATAAAAGAAAAACTAAACACCATTCGCATTTTCACACTATTCCAAACTCTTGATAACAGCTGAAAAGTACTAGAGGACCAGATCAACCAGGCTGTGATGGATATGTGGGTCAGCGAGCCACAAGCAGTAACAGCCTGGTAAAGCTAGAATTTTATCCAGTTGGTAGCGCTACGCTGCTTTAGACACGCCTACTGTATAAACTAGTGAGCAGCGCAATATTTCCTGGTAGTATCCAGCAATAAAGCAATGATTCACTCACACCACATCACTATCACCTTGGCAAGGTTCTCATCCTACTTAACCTTTCATTTATGTGCTATCAACCTTATTTATTACACAACACAAGGAACACTGCAATAGGCCTACTGGCCCACGCTAGGCAAGTCCATCTATAAATTTAGTACATTTACATTTGATATTGGGTCCAGGACCCTTTTTAACCGATTGTCAATACACATTACCAGGGGATATACTATTTACATTCCTAGGTTGGGCCAGTAGGCTACTGCAATATTCCTTTATAAAGGAACACTGCTTTGTGTACGCCTGCTTCAATGTTCCTCCACTTTTATGTTCTTTTACGATAGAACACTGAAGCAAGTACACCAGCTCATAATAGACAGGTGCTAAAATATCTCTATCACAAAAGGTTGACCACGGACACTAAACTAGCAGACTATCATCAATGTAACAATTAAAGATTCCATTATAATTATTCCACAAGACTGCTCACCTCTCCATGATTCCTCAAAAGTCTTTCAATGACTGAAGTGCAGAGGATTTTTTTTCTAGTTTCATTTATGTCTTTTGTTGGAGTGCGGAGGTTTGAGTTTCCGTGTTCTAGGCCAAACCAAGGTCTGGCGTTCCCAGGTACTCCCCACCTGTGTGCCTCAACATCTTTGTAGATGAATGGTTCAGAGAACCGACATGTTGTAGATGAATGGTTCAGAGAACCGACATGTTGTAGATGAATGGTTCAGAGAACCGACATGTTGATAAATTAGACATGTGCAACTCTTTATTAAAGGAATATATATGTAATCATTTTATTAAGGAAACATCTGTAGAAATTGGGCAATGACTATCAACAACTTGAAGGAAAGGGACACTAATGCATTCACTTAGGAAAGCATGAAATAATTTTAGGTTCTTGGACCTTTATTAAATGAGGCTCTATAGCGTTAAAATAATAGTATTTCTAGTAACTAGCAACGGTGGTGGTAGTAATAGTCTGAATGACGCCGGACGTGAAGGGTTATCTTACGGCTATCACGTGGCACTCTCGTGCAATGTGTTCTAAAATTATATGGGATAATGAGGAAATATAACGGAGTTTTTTGAACGGTAGTGCTGGTAGTGGCAATATGTTAGCTTAAAGGTATCTTCGTTGCCTTAAGTCTGGTTTCTAGTAGATAAGTTTAGCCTCATCCTAACTTACGAGATGGTCCTTGGTGCATGTGTGTATGACTAGCTTTGCTAGTGTCTCCCCTGCTGCAGCAATGACAAAAGACCATATACAATTATTGGACATTTTCTGCTTTTTGCCCGTTCAGAAGGCACGTTCACACACACGAATTCACAAGTCAGTAATACGATCAGAGGAACTTAGGAGGCGGAGCTAGCTAGTTATCTCTCTACATCCACACCACTACACGTCCTTCAAGTCAGCATTATAAGTACAACCATCACACTTTAACAGTCATTAGCCTCACCACAGCTCAACCATCACACTAGCAAGTAGAAATACCTGAGTGTAAAGAAATGAGTGATGATGATGCAAGACATGAGGGTAGAGACGTGAGCAGCAGGAGCGCCAGAGGGAGCAGGGGCAGCAGAGCATGGCGGGGAGAGAGGCTTGAGGAAGGCCTCTGCGTGAGGGTACACAGGCGGGGCCGCCTCAACATTGCCACACACAACTTTCCACTCATGCTGACGCTTTTGTAACTCCTAACACTGTCTTAATGGTTACCTTCGGGCACTGTTAGGAAGTCTCTCAACCGGAGGATCGAGTCGTCAACTAGACCCTTTATGCAGCACAAATAACCAGCACCATATAGTAACTACTGAAGATCATTGTAATTATCAAAAAACTGTACGTCAACTAACTTTGTTTTTCCCTTGCATATACTGCTAGCATTCAGAAAAAGTATTAATGCCTACGTACACTATACCTGTTAACATATGTCCACAGTTTGACGGGAATTGCAGTAGGTGTAGTAGATCCAACAGCATATACCCAAAGGTTTCACTATATGCGAGAAATCAAGCAACTTTCAGTATCTGTAACTACACAGAGAAGTGAGCAACGTAGCTGGCCAGTGACTGGCTATAACTAAGGACTTTCTGGTGACCACCTCACACGGAGGCTACGCAATCGTCTCTCTCATAGGGTCTAGTCACTTCTGGCAACCCTAACATAGCCTTGATCATTCTTACTCACTTGTTGGCGTGTTTACGCCAAACACTAACACGCATTATGCTCTGTGCAGAAGCACACCACGCAGCAGCAACAAATAAAAAGCCTAAAACTTAAATAAAAGAGTGAGCAGATAAATAAAATAGTTGTGAGGGTGGCATACCGTACTCAGTGACGTGAGTGGGTGCGTCATGACTCCGCCATCTTGCTATGACGTCACTGATACATCAACAGGAAAACAATGATTTCAGAAATGACGTCATGTAAGACTCATCCTTCCAGGTGGAAAAACGTAAGTAAAAGTGAATCACTCGGCTTGGTTTCTAATAATATTTATCTTCATACAGACAGGAGGCACACACCTACAGAATAAGAAAACTTGTCGGTTTTCTAAACTATTTATCACATAAAACAACTTCATAATAAGAACAAGAATGCAGGAACACTGCAGCAAGTATACTGACCCATACAAGGCAAGTCTTTATCAAAACCACTCATTCTCACCCACGTATTTCTCCAACCCTTTCCCAAAGATACCCAAGAATATGTTTTCAGTACCTCAGGTGGAGCAAGTCAACATCATTATCTCCCAGTATCTTATTTCCAGGAAATACGATAACATAGTTTAAATATCAAAATGGTATACAATACCGACAAGCTGGTAAGACACGTAGGCAACATTTAGGCAACTTTATTCCGAAACGTTTCGCCTACACAGTAGGCTCAAATCTACGACTTCAAGGGTGATTGACTGATTACATCGTCTTCACATCTCTACTGCTCCTACCTACTTTCTGTGCAAAAAAACCAAACATGATTCTGGCACAAGTGCAGGAATTTACGCTATACCATGTGGGGGTGTGACAAAGTATATAAGAACATAAGAACGAAGGAACACTGCAGCAGGCCTACTGGCCCATGCGAGGCAGGCCCAAGTCTCCTACCGGCTTAAGCCAATGCACCCAACCCAGTCAGGTCAGGTCACATTGACTTAAGGGAGGAACACGGCAACCGACCTGGTAGCACAAGATATCAGGTCCAACTCACACCCACCCACATCCACTCATATATTTATCCAACCTATTTTTAAAGCTACACAACGTTCTGGCCCCTATCACTGTACTTGGGAGTTTGTTCCACTCATCCACAACTCTATTACCAAACCAGTACTTTCCTATATCCTTCCTGAATCTGATTTTTTCCAACTTAAAACCATTGCTGCGAGTCCTGTCTAGGCTAGATATTTTCAGCACACTATTTACATCCCCTTTATTTATTCCTGTCTTCCATTTATACACCTCAATCATATCCCCCCTAATTCTACGTCTTTCTAGAGAGTGCAGATTCAGGACCCTTAGTCTATCCTCATAGGGAAGGTTTCTGATACATGGGATCAACTTTGTCATCCTCCTTTGTACATTTTCCAGAGCATTTATATCCATTCTGTAATACGGTGACCAAAACTGTGCAGCATAATCTAAATGAGGCCTAACCAAGGATGTATAGAGTTAAGACACATGTGCAACATCTGGATATCTTTATTGTAGACGTTTCGCCATCCAGTGGCTTTATCAATACAGATTCTAGGACATAATAGGAAGACAGTAGAACTATATACAAAAGATGAGGTAATCAGTCCCTCAGCCTTGGAGTAAGTGTTCACAGCATAGTGGTGGAGAAGAATCTCCACCACTATGCTGTGAACACTTACTCCAAGGCTGAGGGACTGATTACCTCATCTTTTGTATATAGTTCTACTGTCTTCCTATTATGTCCTAGAATCTGTATTGATAAAGCCACTGGATGGCGAAACGTCTACAATAAAGATATCCAGATGTTGCACATGTGTCTTAACTTTCATATTGTCGGTATTTTATACCTTTCTTGCACATGTATAGAGTTGAAGAACAACCTGAGGACTCCTATTATTTATGCTTCTTGATATGAAGCCAAGTCGGTGACGTGTACTTAGCTCTGTGAAGACCTGTTTGTGTGCTCTCTGTGAATCTGTACCAGGATGCCCTCTCTTGAGCAACTTTACCAGCAGTTGAGAGAAGAGCTCAGAGTTGCTAAGATGGAGATACGGCGATTAACGGAGGAGAACAAGAGGATTCGTAGTAATCCTTCTGTTGTGAGTCCCCAGGTTAAGAGGGGAGCTTGGTCAGTGGCCGGGCAACATGGAACCAAGCTGAAGATCAAGAAAACGGTTGGAGAGGCAGAAACAACGAGAAACCAGAAGACTACATTGGAAACTTCCAACTCATTCTCGGTGCTACCTGACGAATGTGAGTGCTTACTGGGAATGCCACAACGAGCACCAAAGAAGCATTGGCAGACGTGAGTAAGACATCCCTAGAAACCCCAACGAAGACCATCGAGAACGTCTTGACGAATTCTACAAGTGGTGTAATGCTACCTGGCGAATGTGAGTCGACTACTCGGAGCATCATGACGGACGACGCCAAGGAAGGTAAAAACATTGTTGTTGTTGGGGATAGCCAGATTAGGTACATGGATAGGGGATTCTGCTTGAAGGATAGGAGTAGGAGGCAGAGAGTGTGTTTTCCTAGGGCTGGGATGAAGGATATTGTTAGCCGTCTGGATGACATCATGAGAGGTAATGGGAGCAATCCTATTATCTGTCTCAGTGCTGGAGGCAACGATGTTGGCAGACGTAGGAGTGAGGACCTGATTAGCAGGTATAGGTCAGCAATAGAGATAATTAGGAGGAAGGGTGGGAAACCTGTCATATGTGGCATTTTGCCAAGGAGAGGAGTTGGAAATGAATGGTTGTCCAGAGCAATTGGTGTCAATTGCTGGCTAGACAAATACTGTAAGGAAAATGCGGTAACATTCATTGACAACTGGGACCTCTTCTATGGCAGAAATGACATGTATGCCAGGGATGGGGTTCACTTATCTAGGTGTGGGGTGGGAGCACTGGCCAATGCAGTGGAGGGAGCTGTTAGGTCTTTAAACTAGCAATAGTTAGTGGTATGGGTTTTGGCGGGAAAACTGTGAAGTCGCAGGGTAGTAACATGAGTACTAGGAGAACTAGTAATAGGCAAAATGAGGTGGATATTGCAAAGCCAGTGGTACTAATTGACAAGGACAGTAATAGGTTTAGTGGAATAATAGAAAGGAGCAGGAAGGGTAAAGAGAGAGGAGGGTCATTAAAAATTTATTACACAAATAGTCGCAGTACTAGGAATAAGATGGACGAGTTGAGACTAGTTGCTAGTGCAGGTAACATAGATGTATTTGCCATTACTGAGACGTGGTTTAATTCAAAAAGTCGGGACATGCCTGCAGAATGTCACATTCAGGGTTTTAAATTGTTCCAAGTAGATAGAAGTATCGGGAAGGGGGGTGGGGTGGCATTGTATGTCCGAGATCGCTTGAACTGTTGCATAAAAACAGGTATTAAGTCTGAAGTAACACATACAGAGTCTGTTTGGATAGAATTTTCAGAGGGACATGAAAAATTAATTTTAGTTGTGATATACCGTCCCCCAAATTTAGATAGGGACCAAGGGAGACTACTATGGGAGGAAATTGTTAGGGCCACAAGACACGATAATGTAGTAATTCTAGGAGACTTTAACTTTAGTCATATTGATTGGAATTTCTTGACTGGAAATTTAGAATCATACGATTTCTTAGAAGTAGTTCAGGATTGTTTTTTGAAGCAGTTTGTGACAGAACCTACAAGGGGTAATAACCTGCTTGACTTAGTTCTGGCAAACAATGAATCCCTTGTTAATAATTTAGAAGTTTCAGAGGAACTGGGTGCTAGCGACCACAAATCAATTACATTTAGAATTGAATGGAAGCATGATAGTAGGGATAACTCAGTAACAGTCCCAGATTTTTGCTTAGCAGATTACGATGGGCTTAGAGAACACTTATCATCTGTTGACTGGGGTAACGAAGAGAGCTATCAATATGACAGTTTTCTGAACACAATACATGCTGCTCAAAGAACGTTTATCCCTTATAAGGAAATTAGATCAAATAGAAATGACCCAAAATGGATGAATAATAGGCTGAAATATCTACTAGGGCATAAGAAAGGAATTTATAGGCGTATCAAAAGAGGCGAGGGTCATCTTATGAATCAGTATATTGACATTAAGAGGGACATTAAAAAGGGGATAAGAAAAGCTAAAAGGGACTATGAAATTAAAGTTGCTAGGGATTCTAAAACTAATCCAAAAAGTTTTTTCCAGGTATATAGAACAAAAGTCAGAGATAAGATAGGTCCCCTTAAAAATAACTATGGGCATCTTACTGACAAAGAGAATGAAATGTGCTCGATTTTAAATAATTATTTTCTCTCGGTTTTTACACAGGAAGACACTAATAACATTCCGGTAATTAATTTTTATAGTGGATTAGAAGAAGATAAATTATGTAACATCACAGTCACTAGTGAAATGGTTGTGAAGCAGATAGACCGACTGAAGCAAAATAAGTCACCGGGTCCTGATGAGGTTTTTTCAAGGGTTCTTAAGGAATGCAAAATGGAAGTCTGTGAACCATTAACTAATATTTTTAATTTATCTCTTCAAACAGGTGTAGTGTCTGATAAGTGGAAGATGGCTAATGTAATTCCTATTTTTAAAACAGGGGACAAGTCGTTACCGTCAAATTACCGCCCAATAAGCCTGACCTCAATTGTAGGCAAGTTGCTAGAGTCAATTATAGCTGAGATTATAAGAAGCCATCTCGATAAGCATAGCTTGATTAATGATACTCAGCATGGATTCACAAGAGGCCGGTCTTGTCTAACTAATTTATTAACTTTCTTCAGTAAAGCTTTTGAGGCTGTTGACCACAATAAAGAATTTGATATTGTTTACTTAGATTTTAGTAACGCATTTGATAGAGTTCCGCACCAAAGACTGTTGAAGAAAGTAGCA